TTCTGACATGGTTTACTCGCCTCCACGCTGTGACAGAAATGTCTGCTGGAGTCGGAGGAGGAAATATCTGAAACAGGGCACCACTAAGGGGAGCCTGAAGCAAAACAGCGAGATTACACTTCAAGAGCAAGTTTTTAAATAAAGGTGCTTGTGTGAGGGGGTAAGGGATATGGGTTAACACAAAACCCCATTACTGCTACAGCCCTTATCCTAACATTCGAATAAAAGCGATATGAACTTTTTGCCGTTTATCAGGAAATATATTAAACTATGTAGAATTTAAATGTAATTCACACAGCTGTTTATTACAGACTCATACCACACACTGGAATCCAGATGAAAAACTTTATCTCGGCTGAAATAACACTAAATACACAACAGATTCACAGTCGCCAAGTTTTAGTGGATCCTGCACCCCACCATGAGACAGCATGATGTACAGATGAAAACACACAAAAACGTGACTACTTTAATGTACGTGAATTGATGTTGACAAGCCAAGTTATTATCCTCTGCACAAGAGCTGATTTAAAAAATAGAACCTGAGGGCAAAAGTTCAAGCACATGAACCTCAAACTGCTTATGGACCTCATTGATCTCATTTAATATACAACAGTTACATCTTTTATATCCACCATAACGGTTTACTTTTATCATTTTGGCCTGTATGCTATTGGTCTACAGTCGCTGACGCTGTATGAATCTAAAAAAAAATTGTATAAGATTTAAAGGGGATTTCAATTTTTCAGAATTTAGCATAACTTAGCATAAATTAATTGTAACCAAAGCTTTTTTGTTTTTGCTTGTAAACAAAGTCACTCAGAGTGTTTTTGTGCAGATGGTGTTTTTGCAAAGAAACTAGCTCTGATTCCACAAGTGTGGTAATAGGAACCAGAGACTGCAATGTATGCAATACATAGCCATTTTATTTACCATTGAAAATGACCAGTGAACCTATATGTTTCTTCTGAGTTTGTATATGTAATGTTGATAACGGTGAAATTGTGGAAAAAAGTGGTAAATTATACTACTATTTGGTAGCACTATATGGTAATAAAATATTTTGCCTCAGAACACCCTGCCTGTACCTCTCCACCATTAATTTATTTTGAAAAATATATATATACGTACAGGTTTTAGACCAAAATTGGTGGGATTCCTTTTTAAGACACTCAGACATTCAATTACAACTTGTCATCCCATGAATGAACTATCAGCAAATGAGGGATGATTTTATTTATAAAAATCCACGTTTGTCATGAACCTCATTAAATGCTTCAGTCTCTTCATGCCTCTATAAAAGCTGAACTGTCAGGGATCAGACAGGGCAATGAATATGAAACTACAGAATGGTAGGGGGGTGCTTCCCAGTGCTTTGGCATGTGATGGACTCAGTGCAAAACATGTTTCCATTTGTGTGGGGTACTAATTGTCATTATCTATTACTGTCATCCATGCCAAGATGATGGCAGTGTAACCCTGCAGTCGCTGATTACACTCCACCACAAACCAGAACAGAAAAATTATCCGTACGCAATTATAAGAAATCCACAGGCAAATTAAGCTGCAGTTAACACCACCAAAACAAATATCAGAAACGTTTGTTCTAAAGTTCAAATGCTCCCAAAGCTTTCAATGGGGAAAATAAAAAGTCTCCATGCAGTTTGCTCCAACATGCATCATTCAGAAAGTCTTTTTCAGACTCTGTGATTTCCTTACACAGTCCATTTCTGTGATTTCTTCTTTTTTTTAAGCTTGAGAATCAAGGCGGAGGATGCATGAGAAATCTATGTAACCCCCCTTGGACACAGACAAACATTCCACCCCGAATCAGATCTTTGCAAAACTTTGAACTCACACACAGAGATCTAACATAAACAGGACTGCACTGCACCAAAGCAATTGTTCCACTGGCAAAGCTATAGTCAAGTCATGAGGGATTCCCAAAGAAAAACATTTCGTGTTGACTTTTCAAGCATTTATAGTGAGCCCAAAAAGGCCAACAGGAAAAATTAACTATTCAATAAAAAAAGGGTGAGAGGGATAGTGGGAAAAAAAGTTTCCCGAATGACAGTGAATTCCCAAGAGGTGAAATAATGCCCCAAGATGACGGCAAAGGAAATTACTTAATAGCCGTAAAGAAGCGAGGAGCAACACTGATATCCTCTGATAGAAAGCATAATGTAGGCGTTTAAATCCTGAGGTCTGACCTCAGCAGATCCCTGATGAATTTGTATTAAAAAAAAATATTCTAATGAATAATAAGGAGGTCATGGAGCAGCGCTGCAATTATTTGAATTTACAGCTTGTATTAGTGCATGGGTGACTTTACATTACTATTGTACATTACATTATCTGTAATTCACTAAATAGGGATGCAAATCTATGATGATAAACACAACAAAAAACAGCATCAATTCACTCAACTGTTATGCACTCATATATATATATACTGTGCAAAGAAAACTATGCATCTCCATTTTTGTCGATTTTTAGTTTTCTACATGATTTCAACACACCAGCTGTCCTTTACATTGTGTACAAATTTCATGCTGCATGGACAAATAGAAATGCTCTAAAGTCACTTGGAATAAAATCTCCAAGAGACTTACTGATCTAAAGAAAATCTACAATGTTTCACTGTCAGAACGAAATGTACCTCTTAAATAGTAACTTTGCAGGAGAGGGCAAAAACATCCATTCATCATGATTTTACACAATATAAAGCACCACTGCTGTGTTCAAATGAAAAAAAGGGGATACATATGTTTTTTTTGGACATCGACGATGTTCTACAAAAAGGGTTCCTGAAACATCTGTAGACAAAAGGCTGAAGTACAAGAAAGAAGCCTTGCTTTAACAAGAAATGTGTACCAAATCATAAACATCAAAAGTGCATGTTTCATGAATTCATTAGTGTTGAGTGTATCAGATTTGGAAAGATCTCATCGTGAGTAGGCTGCTTGTTTCTCATGAGACTCATGTTGTCTTCTAATATCCCAGAACACTTCATGATGCTTAATAGGACCCATAGGTAAACAGTTAGAGCCCCCAAAGCTCTACCAGAGACAGATCCACACAGCCCTTTAATAGCCAAACCTCCTGTCAGTTTCTGTCATTCGGAGGTAAAGAGAAGTGCATAGAGGCACAGTGTTTACAGTATTCTGCTCTGCAATAAATCAGAAGACCACTTCCTCCAGTGAAGTAAACACTTCAATATGTGCACTGGTTTTGAAGAACATTTCACTGGTGCTCTCATGAGAGGAGGTTACATGGTCAGGCATTACACCCGCAGAGCATTTCACTCACACACACACACCACCTTACCCAGAGCAGTGCAGACAAAATGCTTACTTATCTCAGTACTGACAGGAGGAAAATGGGATTTTATTAAACTGGCATTTTATAAGACTGCACTAAATGGCTCATAATTACACCATCACAGAAAACAAATCAATGCAAACATTAGGGTAAATCAAAGGCATTTAAAGAGATATGTGGAATTTTGTGACCAAACTGACTTTTTATGACTTGAGTCTACAAGTCTGAATTAAAAGAATCATAATTAAAATTAATTATTTAATGTATTATTCATGTGTTTAAATACGTAATATTTTATATGTATTTCAAAAATTTTTATTTCTGTATGCCAATGTGCTTTAAAAATTATATATATATATATATAGGCGTGTGTGCGTGTGTGTGTACATATACAAATATATATATGATTTCATTTATATGTATATGCTTATCCAAAAAAAGTCAAAAGTTAGTTAAAGAGTAAAGAGCTAAAGAGTCAAAAGTTTTAGTTTACCGTGTCATAAGGCTGCCATGTGTGTCTGTTTTAACACATTTTTGTGTCGTATCATCATCTATTTTAACACTTTTTCTTATAAATAGAAAGGGCGCGGGGTGTGTTTTAACACATCTGTTTTGAGAGCGCAGCTTTATTGTTTTTCTGCGTCTCTGTGCTTAAACAGTATGAAGGTGAACGAATGCACGAGTTTAGGATAATTTCTGAAAGTTGTCTCCGCAAAGTGAGTCTAACTTTGAGTTCGTGCTGCTGTCTGTCAGTCCGTCTGTCTGTCTGTCTGAGGGAAGCGCTCGTTAGTTCGCTGACATTAAGCTCTAGAAGGAGAGGAGCAGTTAACTCCTGCATGTTCTCCCTGAGGTGCTGTTGTTTCTGATCTCGCCGAGCCTGGCGCCTCCAGAGCAGCTCATGTCTGCCTTATGAAACGCTCTGCCTGACGGTGAAGGGCCGCTTCAATGGAGCCTTTTTAATGCGAGCTTAAAGGGCCGAGGGGGCTTTAAACTGCTCTAATGCAGCGTGACACAATCATCCTTCACTCTCCCGCGTCCTTCATCAACTGTGTCCGAATATCATCAGGCCTATCAGGAGGAAGATGATCTACACGGTGGAAGTTTAGACCTTTAGTCTTTAATACGACTTACATTAGTTTGTAGGCATGTTTAATATTCTAAACAGCCTGTGACAATTAAGACCGTAAAAGACAGAAGGAGTAAAGAGTGATTTTAAATATGTGTATAAAAAGCAGCTAATCCGTAAGACGTTTTCGGCCGCGGTTCCTCCCGGAGAGAAGGCCAAAGAGGAGGCTGATCATGCCGTCTGGTTTCAATCAGGGTTAAGCTAATGAGCGCGGCTCTCTCGCTCTCTCTCGCTCGCTCTCTCTCTCTCTCTGCACACACACGAGCCCTCGGCCTAATTACAACACAAAGTCCTCAAATAAGCTCTCAGACTCGGAGCCCTGGAGCCATCAGCGGAGCGCGCTCCGGTAAAGAGCGCAGTGACGGAGCGAGCCCGACTCCTTCAGAATCGCTTTGACGTCGCCATAGAGACCGAGCCGACCAATCGAAACGAGAGCCGGGGAAAGTCACGTGGGCACAGCGCGGAGCCGATTGGAGGGCGGCGGCGTCAAAAAAACAAAAGGCGAAGTTTCGGGGAAGTTTTATAGGTGGGAGCGGCGCGAGGCCGAGGGGGAGCGGAGCAGAGCGGAGGGGCCACGGAGCAGCAGCGGAGAGGAGCGGCGTGTGTTTCGGAGTTTTATGGCCCCTTTACCGTCCACCATGAGCTCCGTGCAAGGACCACTTCTCCAGGACGGCGGGGAGGAGACGAAGGCCAGCGACAGTAGCGCGGCGAGGGGATGTAAGAGCAAGGCGCTGAGCCTGCCCTTCAGCGTGGAGGCGCTCATATCAGACAGAGGGCACCTCCAGGACTTCATATCCCGCAGCGGAACCCGGTGGGACGAGCCCTGCGCCCGGGGCCGAGGAGCGCCTGCGGCTCTCCCCCTCAGCTCTGTACGCGGAGAGGAAAGCGGCGCTGGAGAGCGGGACAAACCCGGGAAAAAGAGGAGGCGCGGAGGAGCGCGAGGAGAAGACACGAGGAGGCTGGTTTCAGAGCCCTCCGTACACTTCCCCGCCAAGTAAGTGTCAGGAAAAAAAAGAGTGTAAACTCTCTGAGGGGTTCAGTGTGGGGACATGTTTTTAAGTAGAACATTTCTTCATTTATATAAGAGTGAAAGGACAAATTGTTGTAGACAGAGATATTAGGGCTGGATTCAGACAACAGGGGGACACGTTAACTTGTTTTTGTTCCAGTTAATAAGAGGACACTTTAACTTGTTTTATTTTTCCACTAGTACTGCGATGCTTATTGGTGGCTTCATTCTGAATGAACCAAAGTTATTAAATTAAGTAAGCAACTTTTTAGTGGGAATTGAATAAAAAACTCCCTTATCATTCAGGGCCTGGGGCATGAGTGCCCCATTTGACCATAACACACTGTGCCTGAATCACAGCCAATCAGCGCATCTCCGAGCCCCCTTAAGTATTATACAGTCATAAAAAAGGTACATGATTCGTTCATCAAGGTATAAACATGTAGACCTGCCCTCAAAGGTACAACACTAGTTTTGAGGTCCAATTGTGTACCTTAAGTAAGTTTTTCATAGTGGAAAAGAATACATTTGTACCTTTTCATAACCTAATGTTTTAAAACAGAAAAAATAAAATAAAAAGCATGGAGACGAGGCGGGGTGTGTGGAGTCAATATAACTTAGAAAATATAATTTCAATGGATTATGGTACAATTATCTTCAAAGGTACTGAGATGGACCCTTGAGGGTACCACCCCAGTGACACGAGGGGTACTGCCCCAGTGACAGTTTTGTACCTTTTTTCCTGAAAATGTACAACATTAAGGTCCAGCTTTATACATTAAACAAGTCATTCTCAGGAAAAAGCTATTTTTATGTTTGAAACTAGGACAATAAAATAAAAAGGCTGGAGTCGAGGCAGAGTGTGTGGAGTCAATACAGCTTAAACAATATAACTGCAATGGAATCTGGTACAGTTTTCTTCCCTAAATAAACGTACTGAAGACCCCAGCGACCCCAGTGTGACAGTTCAGTACTCTTTGTTCTGAGAGTGCAGGGATTCTTTAAGGAGTAAGAAATGCCTTGTCTCTGTAACCTGTTTTGGCCCGATGGTGCTCTTGCTGATTCGGCCCGTTGCTGTCTCCCTACAGGACACTCCAGTCCGTCTCCGTGCGCGCTCAGGAAGCACAAGAACAACCGCAAGCCGCGGACTCCATTCACCACGGCCCAGCTGCTGGCGCTCGAGCGCAAGTTCCGCCAGAAGCAGTACTTGTCCATCGCGGAGCGCGCGGAGTTCTCCAGCTCGCTCAACCTGACCGAGACGCAGGTCAAGATCTGGTTCCAGAACCGCAGGGCCAAGGCCAAGAGACTGCAGGAGGCCGAGCTGGAGAAGCTCAAGCTGGCGGCCAAGCCCGTGCTGCCGGCGCTCGCGCTCCCCTTCCCGCTGGCGGCGGGAGCGCACGCGGGTTCTCCGGGCCTGTACGGCCACGCGGCGGCCTTCCCGCGGCCCGCACTGCCCCTGCCCGGACTGTTCGGTGGACCTGTGACCTACGGGATGTACTATCTGTCCTAACTGAGCGCATCACTGCGAGACTGCTGTGCTGAATTTGTATTTCCTGTCCAAAAATGGACCAACTTAACTCTCCTAAAGTTACACAGGCCCATAACAAAACGGCGACAGGTTATAATGCAGTGCAGAAAAGCGCTTTCAGGACTCGGTGCAAAGCTGCTCCCTTTAAAAACCATCCAACCTGTTGCTTATAGCGCAACAAGAACAGAGCCTGATATCATCTGTCACATGTGCTGGTAGAAATGATTCAATAAGCCTCATCTCTTAATGTCTGCGGACAAACACGTGCAGAAACTGACCGTGTCAGAGGAAGAGGGTCCGTTTAATCGGACAGTTTAATCTGGTAAACTGCAGCCCTGCATTTAAACAAAACAATTAAGTGAAAAAAACAAATATTGGTGAGCTGATCAGAAAGAGCCTCACTCTAAAAACAGATGTGTTAAAAAAAACAACACTCTCTGTCTTTAACTAGACGCGTTCAGTCGGGGACACATTTTGAGTCACTTTTGACACAGAATGTGTTAAAATATTTCTGCGCCCACTTACGGAAAACACACTTTGTGTTACTTTTAACACAGATTGTGTCAAATCAGAAAACAGTATGACACAAAACGGGTAACACAAGTCAGCATGTTGTTATTTACCACATCACTTTTGAGAGTGTCCATGACCCTCAGCTCGCGCTCATCCGCACTGTTGCTCTTACCAGCGATTCTCAACACCACACTGAGAGAACCATCACACACATTTCTGTGTAAATTTTCTGGTTTTAATTATCTGGTTTTGCAGAAAACAAGTGATGAGAAATCTAAATCCTGAGCCTTGTTTTTTTTTTAATCGAGCTCACATTGGAGACTCTTAACGCTTGATTGGATTTAAGTGACCCCAACCTGATGCTTTCACTGGGTTTGGTTTAGCCTGGACTTCTTTAGGCTCTATGTACCGCGCTATAGTACGATAGACTGTAAAATAACCTCTAGATTTTTTTTATTATTGTAAATAAGCGTATATATTAGCATCCAGCTATTTTCAACCACCTTTGAAATTACGAATAGAATTGCTGATATTTATACATTGTGTTTACATTTATCTTCTGTAAATTATTGTATATATTTGTACATAAAAATTAGAAAAAATAATCTTTTGTATTGAAAAATAAATTTGGAACAAGTGAACTGTGTGTCGTTTTTCTGCAGGCTATTTTTTAGACGCAGCACTATGAACTGTATTTCTTAAACACGTTTAAAAAGCGATGTGTTAAAAAAACAACACATTCTGTCTCTAACCAGGCACATTGAGTTACTTTTGACACAAAATGTGTTGAAATATTTCTATACACACTTACAGATATTCACAATTCGTGTTACTTTTAATACAGAATGTGTTGGATCGAAAACAATATAACACGTGTTAAAACGGGTGAAGCAAGTAAGTGTGTTGTTATTTAACGCATCACTTATAGATTGAAGGGTTTAATCCCTGAACTTGTCTACAATGCTGTTTTTACATTTTAATAATTTAAACTACATTCTTTTGTGTTGTTTAGAGTAAACTTTTAACATACTGCATTACACTGCTAACTAGCGTAAATCTAATTCCTCACAATTCTATTGCAGATCTATTTATTTCTGAGCTGAAAAACAAAATTCATGTAGGTTTAGCATTTTAAATAAATTAATTTCTGCTCAAAATGTAAATGTAAGTTGTTAGTATTCTTCATTAGATATTGAAATATAGTTGTTTAGAATAAACTCAATTTAGATGAAATTTAGATCATGTTTCCATCATTTGAATCTGCTCTGAAAAGCTGCAGAGTCTCATAAAGACAGAATGTGAACTACAGATCAGAAACAGTCATTTATTGCAACACACTTCTGAGCTGTGTGAATTGATGAAGTCTAATTAAACAGTGACAGATAAGGGAGAAATGACATTCTTACAGTTTATATTAAGGCAAAATGAAAAGAGCTAGGAGTTTTGGCACTACAAGAAAAGGATTTGACAAACCTTATCTTCAGCATGTATTGCTGTTATGTGCAAGTTGCTGGTATAAGCAGTAGAGTGCACCACATTAATGTGTTTTTTGGCTAATTTTATTGTAAAAATACTGCCATCACTCTGAGCACACATCATCACATCATATAATATAATGTGCTTAAGTAATAAATAAAAGGTCTGGCCTACTTCTTCTTTCTTCCACCTCTAAAGCCTCTTACTGAGCCCTGGCCAAAGCAAATCGAGGATGGCACTCTGAAAAAAAGCACAACAATTAAAAAAAAGTAAAAAAAAAAAATTACTGCCATTCTTCTATGGTATATAAAGAGAAAGTCTGAGAAATACTCACTTATATGAGTAACGTGGTTTTTGCTGCTCAGGAGGCACAAGCTCCTGCCTCTCTGACTCTTGGGGCAGCGAAACATCCATCGCCTCACTATTTTCTGGTTCTCCATGCTGATTAACTGCACTGCCAGAGACCACCATACAAACTTCCCTCTGCTTAAGAGTCTTTTTCTCTTTTGTTCTGCTGAACCATGAATTAAAAAAAAGGCCAAACTTTTCATTACACAAGCACAATTAAAAATACAAATAGATGCAAAAGTAATGGTGATGCATTTCCAGCACTCGTAGAGTGAATTTAATATTTAAGTGATGTCCTACCTTTTGCTCTTCTTAGTTCTGTCAAATCTGAAGTCTGATGGATAGCTGTGGACTGTGATCAGATGATCTTTCCTCTCTTTGCTGGTCCGGAATTTCAGTCCACATCCCTCGACCAAGCACTGATACTGAAAAGCAATATTACAATAGACAGATTAAGTATACAGTTGTTTTAATAGGAAGCGATTATTTCCATTGTTGGTATGTGGGCAAAATCAGGCTATATTAAAACCTTTTAATCCATCAGGATGCTAAAATACATTGCAAGGCAACAACACAGTTACTATTTTTTCCTACATATAGCATACATCAAGAGATCCTACAGGAAAGAGTGGCAACTAAAGTTTTCCCTGCTCAAAAACACTCAGACTCAACTTACTCACTATCTCCAAAGGGTGGCAGCAAAATCTACACAAATCAGCTGCAGACTATCACGAATGATAAATATTTCCCGCTGTTAACAAAGATAGTTCTGTATTGGGCACTACATGGCATTCACACTAAAAACTGGCTTACTTTAAAAGTGTCCCATGAGCATAATTAGACAGTAAAAGCAATGGGCCACTCACTGTTATGAGTTATTGTCTTTCATTGTAATGATTCTGATTTGAATGTACTGTATCTGTTCTAGCAAACTCCCTTCCTTAAGAAAAAGAGTAAAACAAAGACAGTCCTCTGTTCTGTGCTTTCCTGGAGAGAGGGTCGATAATATTTACATTCTGTAGAGACTGTTACTTCGTACAGCCAGCAACACATAATTCATAACAGAACAAAAGTAGAAACTATTTTTGGTTTGTAATCTGGTTTTACTGTTTGCTAACTTATTAGCCTGGCTGCTCAGGTTAATTAACATTTCTAAATGTAATGTGATTATCAGCTGTGGATAAGAGGCAGCTGTGAGAAGAAAGCAAACTCACCCGAGAATGTCCAGCTTCTATCCAGTACAGCACTTCATGTTAACAATCCATAACAATAGATATTTTTAAGTTTGATATGAGTTTTGATTCTGAGGCTGAGACTTATTTAAAATGTCAATATTTTATGTGTTAAAATGTTCTGATTCTACAGAACGCTGTTCATATAAAAAAGTCAAAACAGTCCTTAAGTAGAAGTTATTCATTTCCAAGGTCAGGAAACAGAAAACATATATTGAACAGGAAATTACACAGATGCCTCTGTATCACATCAAAATGTTCCATATTTAATGTGTCCACCATTTTCTTTCATTACAGCATCCATTCTTTTCAGGAGATTTGCTTTCAGTTTTCACAAGATATCTGCAAGGATATTTTTTCCCATATCACCAGTTCAAGTTCAGTCTTACAAGTTATCTGCTTCTCACAATTCAAATAATCCCGAACACATTCAATGATGTTGAGGTCTGGACTCTGGTGTTGCCAGTCTATTGTCCTGAGAACATCAGATTATTTGGTTAATACGCAAATATTCTTATTTTTGTCTGTTTACTTTTTCTTCTTTTTACTTTCCCATTTAATGTAAAGTTCTTAACAGCTACACATCCTTTCAGACTCATAGCATGGAGCCCACAGTGGAAAGATGGACAGAAACATCTGTGGATTTTTACAGATCTGAAGCAAGAGTGGAGCTTCATTTTCTCCTCTCTCTCAAAGATTAAAGCTTTAAATACTTCATGTTATGGTGAGTTTTGGTGGTTTACCAGGTCTAGCATGGTTGGCAGGAGTCTCATTTTCTCTATAGCCTTATCCATTTATGCCAATTTTGGAAAATCTGTTAATTAATAGCATGTCCTTCATGGCTGTTTTGACTGTAAATTAAATCAATTTTAAATTAAATTTAAAAATGAAATTAAATAAGGCTGTTCTCCGACTTCTGCGCAGTACTGTATATGAAATAGGTCTGGCTCTGATAGATAGATAAATAGATAAATGATCTCAGATAGAACTTTTTCAACACCTGCAGCATCAACCTTCTAACAAAATAAGCCCCAAAAATCACAACCCCTGGAATTTATAATTGACATCAGAAAAAATGACATTAGAAAAAAAAGCCCAGTCAGTGTAATATTCTGACACTGAATTATAAGGACATACTGACCTTAATAGAGTATTTTTTAATACTGTATTATAATCCAGTGTCAGAATGTTGTAATGTTAAACACTGAGTACCTGAGCTGATAATATTTCAGCTGTGCAAATGCAACCACTGCAGTTATGCTCTTACTTTAATCACTACATGAATGCAAATATTTATATTACCATGCACTGTTTCTCTGCCATGACCTGAAAGAGGGAATCATGCCATTCCAGGATGTGTATGTCCAGTAGATGGTTTGATGGAAAAGAGCGCTTGCAGTTGGAACATACATGACGATGGAGTGAATTGTAGTGGTGCTCATATCCCTCAAGAGTGTCAAATAACTGCTTACAGCCTGCAATGTGACACCTGAACTCTGAAACACTGCAAGAAAGTTACAGAAAGATGAATGTGGTGACAAGAAAACAATACAGACTGAGCCTGTCTACAGCACACAGGCTTTTTAAAGTCAACCTAAAATCAAAACTGACCTTTTTGAGTTAGTTCACATCCCTGGTCAGATTAAGGACAATTCATTATACCGTACCATTTTAAAAAAAGATATGTTTAGTGACTTTTGCTCACATCCAAAGTGTCTTCTAATTTTTGTTACATCACTGTGCATCAGCAGGCAGGAAATGTTAACCAGTAATATCACGTTTTGTCATGATTACAATAATTAATGCTTTACTGCATGGTGTTGCCCTATGGCAACAATTGCTTTCTTTTAACTGTTTAACTGATTACAATAAACACCTTTTTGTATTTCTTTAGGAAACAGAAAACATCACATTGTATTTTTTATGTGATTATATGCCTTCCTGTTGCAGTCTGTACATCTGTTTAATCACACAAATATCACAGGTTGAGGTCAAAATTTTAATACACAACTACTTCAAGAAAAAAAATCAAAATACAAGTGGGGAATTTAATTTTTTCATGAATGAAACCAATTTGGACACCATGGGTTATATATATAAAGATAAAATATAATTGTTGCCATATGGCAACAGCTTACAGGAATGACACTGCACACTGCTGAACAAAATAGGAGTAAATAGTATGGAGCTCAGCCTTAGCAAAAAACATGAACATATGTTTTCATGTGTACTGCATAACTGTAGTAAAGAGTTAAACAAGTGTACACTGATTTAACTGTGTAAATGTCCACTCATGCAGAAAATAACTCATAAATCACCATGACAACACTGGCACGATCATAACGGTTGTAACGGTTGACGCAGTGAACAGGTGAACTATATGTGCAGTCAGTAACACTCACTTAGGCGCCTGGGTCTCATCCGCAAGAGCTGTTACGAGATCCTGCAGGTATAAATGCCGGTGCACATCGCCATCCTGTCGGGGAAAACCAGACTTAGTGCAGCCAGCTGAGGGGACAGCAAGCTAACTCCTCTCATCACACTTTTCAATCAGACTCGATTAACGCTAACAACCTGGTGATGCGCTGATCACTCAAAACAAGCTACTGTGAAGGAATATCAGGAACATAAAGACATCTGGGATTTTGGGGGTATTGCTGTCAAGCCTATGGTACAGTGAACCATCCAGTAAAACGCTGAGAAAGATACATACTTCAAAAAACCCATCATCTTTGTCTAATCGGATTGTGTGAGGTGTGAATCTGAAGGGTGAGGTGTTCTCCTCTGCTCCTTCTCCTCCACTGACAGACTGGATCTCCGCACTCTTCTCGAGGACCGGTATTGTATGAATATCGATTTTTGTTGCATCGCAGCCGTTTAAAAGCTGAACCAGACTGGACTGTAACATACCGCTGAACCGTTCCAAACACAGCCCGTCTTCACACACACACGCACGGCTGACTTCCCGAAACGTCACTGAAACGTCATTGCAGCTGATTGGTCACTTTGCGGAGTCTCCCAGGTCCTAATGACCCCGAACAGCGCAGCTCCGAACTACAGACACCAGATGTCAGTATTTCGATTTTTTTAACACATTTTGCAAGCACATACTCTGAATAACTGACAAATAAATAAATAAATAAATATTTTGTTATATTTCTATATTCTATATTATTGTAACAGCAATATAGGTGTATTAAAAAAAGAATAAAAATATATAAAAACCTATATAGGAGCCTGAAAGAAATTGTTTTTTGACAAGAAAATGAGATAAGACCAATGGGGTCATCATATTTTTATTCTTAATGATCAAGTGATGAAACGCCTTTTGTTCCAGTAGAAATGTATAATTGTCCTTACGCAGTTTAAAATACCTTGGGCTGTAGAAAAAAACTCACAGTATTATTATTATTATTATTATTATTATTATCATTATTATCGTTATTATCGTTATTATAAGCTCAAGAAATCTTGTTGGTAATCACCAAACTCCACTGCACCTGTATGAACATTATTTGTAATATGGTTCGCTTTATCCCCTTACTTTTGTTCTAACGATCTGTGATAAATAGTTACTATAATTTTATGTGATCAAATTTAGGGGTTCCTGACGATTTAGGTGGCGAAATGTTTCCACAAGGTGGCAGCAAAAGTCAGTTTGCTAAGGCTGCACTTACACTTTTCCCTCCAGCCTTGAAAAACCGTTATCCACAGTAACGTGGCTTCTGATGGTCTGAATGTACAATTTAACTTCAGGAAAAAATTACATTTACTCGTATTTCTCTGGTTCTGATTCAAACCGACGAACTACAGCCAGGGAACCAAAAGAACCCATTTTTCTCTTTTCTTGTGCGTTCTGCTCCTGTAGATTTGTACAGTATGAAGTCTGATGGATAACTGAGCTGGGATCAGATGGTGTTTCCTGTATTTGTTGGCAGAATATGTTGAACTGCTATACGGAGTCACTATATTGTATGAAGGCTACAGAGTGGACTAGACTAGTTCCGAAGATGGTCATCCGCAGATAATACAGGAATTGTTCTGATGTCTTTATTCTGAGAAACATTGGCTGGCTGGCTGTGGTTGGCTCAGTGACTGAGCTCATTGCTCTTACCGGATGAAGAGGTCACACTCTAACACACACACTCACCACACAAAGGCGGAGCAATACTAGAACGCTGAATAAGTGGACTTCCTCGGAGTCCGGCTCTTTTCACTCAGTGGAGAGGTCTGACAGAAGAACGATGCACTATACTGGATTACTCTTATCACTGCTTTTTCACGTCTCAGTTTGGGGTAAGTCTAAAGATGGCTGTGATTTCTGTGGTTGGTGAAAGCTGGGGGGCAGTTTGAGCACGTGCTGCCGGTAGTCGGGTGTGGATTAGTGTGAAGGGCAGTAAAATATTAGCAGCAGCAAATCTAATAATATCACAAAAGTAATACATTAAGACTTACTTAATCAAAAAAAAATAAAATAAAATAAATAAATAATAAAAAAAAACACACAAAATGTTCTTTTGGACTTTTCTGTTCAGAGTTTTGCGCCGCTGCACATCCACGTCTTAGCCATGTGATGCACTATGATGTTGTCCAGCTTCAGCCCCTAAAAGGTCGAATGAAGAGGAGCGTTTCTTCTCAACAGGTGTGACTCTCTTTCATTACTGCTGAAGAACTGAGTGACTTAAAGACTTACAGTAGAACCCAGGAAATGAAGCCTGTTAGTTAAAACAAAGTGATACATCTTTATAACAAAAAATAATTATAAAATAAAGTTACATTTTTTTCCCCAGGTGGCTCCTCGTGAAGCTACTTGAGATTTTTTGGTCAATGCTTAATGCCATATGTGTTATTTAAGAGTTGTGATGTCTTCACTATTATTGTACGATTTAGAAATTTATATATATGTATATATATATATATATATATATATATATATATATATATATATATATATATATATAGTAAGTACAGTAGTAGTTGCATTCGCTTAGTAACATAGTTGCATGTGCTCAAGTAAAATATTGATGGATTTGTCAGAGTATATATATATATATACATATATATATATATATATATAAAGAAAAATCCTTCTAGGAGTAGGTAAACTTTTGACTGGTAGTGTTGTTCATTTTGAAAATGCTCAAGAAAGGACAAATCCATCAATATTTTACTTGAGCACATGCAACTATGTTACTAAGCGAATGCAACTACTACTGTAATTTATGTATATATATATATATATATATATATATATATATATAAAACATATATATATATATATGAATATGTGTGTGTGTGTGTGTGTGTGTGTGTGTGATATATAATGATAACATAATGATTTCTTTTATGTCAACAGAAATATCCTGACACAGCTGAATATGCCTTAGCTGTTGATGGGAAAAACTTCACAATATATCTGGAAAGGAACAGGTGGGAAAATCTTTTTTCAAGCAAATGTAAAAATAATATCACACACACAGAGTTAAAACTTATTAACCCCATTTCCATTTCATGCTTTGCTTTCACTGCAGGGAGCTCTTAGGAAAGCACTATACTCTGACTTACTACACAGAAGATGGGATGAAGGTGATGACGCCTCCATCTACCACGGTAAGACAGTTAAAGTGTTAAGAAAAGTGTTTATGAAGCTCTGGAGTATTAATGTGTTTGATTAACGGTGGTCTCTCCTTTTCTTTCTGCAGGATCACTGCTACTATCAGGGACATATCCAAAATGTAAAGGATTCCTCAGTCAGTGTTGGCCTGTGCTCTGGAATGAGGTAAGACAGATCATGTCATAAAGGACACACTATATATTGGGCTGATCATGTGTAATTATCATATATTTTAAAACTAACTGTTATTTCAGTTGGCCTATTTTGAGATTTACCTCGTTATATGATAACAACTTATCCTATTTTGTATGTATATGCAGAAGCTAATTTGAAAAGTGTTAAAGTGACCTTGTACAATAAAGATATGAACAGTGAATACAGTTTAAGGCTTTTTTTATAATGAGACCTAAAGAGATGAGCTACACAACATTTGCAAAGCTTGATTTCATGTTGTGTTGTGTTCAAGATGATATCATGTGAAAGTATGTATCACAGCCTATAGTGCTAATTTAAATCCTATTTCTCTGAAGTGACCTCAGTACACATGTTGAATATGTTAATATGTCTCTAGTCTATTTGAGAGCATAGATACAAAAAAAGGGAAGCCAATGACTCTAATTTTATTACCCATTCAAAAACTTTTAGCATCTTTTTTATACAAAAAGTGCTGTACAGAAAACAAAAAATGTCATTTATTTTCATTGTTCTTTGCATGTCACTGTAATATATTATTTTATTAGTAGTAATAGTAAACTCACTGCAGTAACTATGAAGTCAAAAATCCTGTAACAGAATGGTTTAATAGGCTGTAATGATTTGTTATTGTACAGTAGCGTTATGAAAAAAGAAGAGTTTTTTTGCCAGTATCATAACATAAGCAGTGGGATAGTAGTACTGTAGAAGCACAAAGAAAGTGTGTAGACATTTAGAAAGTATTTACATAGACTGCTATTAGTTAAGGAACCATCTGGTTTACCATCTGCTCCCTGAGGAAGTACTCAAATTACTTGCAGTCATCTCTTCAGGTTGATTTACATATGGATAATTTGTTACCCTGTTATCACATCAGTCATGGTGGGTTTCATTTGTATACGAAAAAAATGCTTCCTAAAGCAAATGAAAAATTTTATTTACCATGCATTATTTTTAACTGACGGCTGAAAATGAAAAACTAAAACATTACAGTGTTATGGGAAACACTAAAGATCTGTTTTGGTAAAGAAGATACAGTTTTACTGTTTTACATAATCAGCTAATTTTGTGATCTGAAAAGGCCTGAATGATCTGTAAATACACCCTTGCCAAATGTACACTATACAAACAGTACACTATA